GTCTGATATTAGGATGGCTATTCCAGCTCTTTTCTGGTTTCTGTTAGCATGGTATATCTTTTTCCATCCTTTCACTTTCAGTTTGGGTGTATCTTTGTTGGTGAGATGTGTTTCTTGTAGGCAGCAAATAGATGGGTTTTGTTTTTAATTCATTCAGCCAGTCTGTATCTTTTAACTAGAGAGTTGAATCCATTTACATTCATGGTGGCTATTGAAAAGTAACAATTTGGCCCTGCCATTTTTCCATAAATATTCCAATTGTAAACTTTGGGTTTACTTTGTACTTTTGGTGAGGGATTGTCTGCCTTCATCTTTTTTTATAGTGATGACCCTGTTTCTGTGTTTCTCTGTGTAGCATGTCCTTGAGCATCATTTGTAAGGCTGGACGAGTGATGACAAGTTCTTTCAATTTGTGTTTGTTATGGAAGGTCTTTATTTCACCTTCATTTCTAAATGAGAGCTCTGCAGGATATAATATTCTGGATTGAGAGTTTTTTTCTCTAAAGACTTGGAATATATCTCACCATTCTCTCCTTGTGTATAGGGTTTCTGATGAGAAGTCAGCTGTAGTATAATTGTTAATCCTTTGAAAATAATCTGGTGTTTGTTGTGCACATTTTAGGATTTTTTTCTTTATGTTGTACTGTGGAGAATTTGACTACAGTGTGTTGTGAAGATCTTTTCTGGTCATGTCTATTAGGAGCTCTATGGTTCTATGTGCCTTGTGTACTTGGACGTCCCTTTCTTTATCTAAGTTAGGAATGTTTTCTGTAATTATTTCACTAAAAAGCCCTTCTAATCTATTCTTTTTCCAAGCCTTCACTTCAAAGCTCCATATGTTGGGTCATTTCATAGTTTTCCTCAAGTGTCTAACACTATTTTTTTCTTTTAGTTTTCTAGTTTCTTTTCTTTTTTTTTTTTTGCTCTAACTGTAAATTTCCAGAGATTTGTATTCCAACATGGATATTCTTTCTTCTGCTTTACTGAGTCTGTTAGTCTGTTGTTAAGGCTTTCCATTTGTTCTGTTGAATTCTTCATTTCCAGTATTTCATTTTGATTTCTCTTTAAGATCACAGTTTCTCAGGAGAAATTTTCTTTCATGTCATGTACAGATTTCATTAGTTTGTAAATTTGCTTCTGATTACTTCTAAGTAATACTACAATCAATTTTTTGAATTCCATTTTTTTTTAAATATTTACTTATTTATTTGAAAGAGTTACACAGAAAGAGGAGAGGCGGGGGAAGGGGCCTTCCATCTGCTGGTTCACTCCCCAGTTGGCCACAATGACCGGAGCTGCACCGATCTGAAGCCAGAAGCCCGGAGCTTCCTCTGGGTCTCCCACATGGGTGCAGGGGCCCAAGAACTTGGGCCATCTTCTACTGCTTTCCCAGGCCATAGCTAAGAGCTGAATGGGAAGTGGAACAGCCGGGACTCAAACTAGCGCCCCACTTTTTTTTTTTAAACTATTTTTCCCTAGACTAGAGCAGTGAGCTTCCTCTCTATTTCACCGTCTTGAAAGACTCTCATGTACTATGTTTTAATTTAAAAAAAAAAAAAACAAAAAACAAAAAAACTCAGTGTCTGAGTTCAGCATTGAGATTCATCAGGTTAACCTGCTGTTTCCAATACCAGCTTTCTGTTAATGCTCTGGGGAAGACAGTAAAATATGGTCCAATTGCTTGGGCCTCTGCCATCCATATGAGATATCAGGATATAGTTTCTGGCTATCCCAGACCTGGGTGTTGGAACCATTTCGAGAGTGAACCAGTGGATGGAAGATCAATCGATCGATCGATCGATCTCTCTCTCTCTCTCTCTGCTTAGTGATTCAGTCACCTTATTCGTTCTTGGTCTACTCACACTTTTTCATGGTTCAGTGTGGTAGGTTGTATGTTTCTAGAAATTCATCCACCACTTCTAGGTTATCCAGTTTCTTGGCATGTAATTGTTCATAGCAGTCTTTTATGAACCTTTGCACTACTGTGGTACCAGATGTAATGTCTCAGCTTTCATTTATATTAATTAAGTCTTCTATCTCTTTTTTAGTCTAGTTAAAGATTTATCAATTTTGTTTATCTTTTTAAAAACTGGTTCTTACTTTCATTGATCCTTCCTGTTTATGTAGTCTCTGTTTTCATTTTTTTTTCCTTCCTTCTGCTATCTTTGGGCTTAGTTTGTTCATTTTCTAGTTTCTTGAAGTACAAAGTTAGATTGTTTAAGATCTTTCTGTTTTGATGTAAGTACTTTTCACTATAAACTTCTCTCTTAAATCTGCTTTTGCTACATTCCCTAAGTCTTTGTGTTGTATTTCCATTTCAGTTTGTTTCAACATAGTTTTTTGCATTTTTCGTTTCTTCTTTGACCCATTGCTTGTTTAGAAATGTGTTTCTGCAGTGCTCTGGCCACAGAATCAGCCCTTAAGGCATTCAGATCTGGCTGAAGAGCCCCTGAGAGTGTTTTAGGCATGGAAAGCCAAGACACTTTGGCAAAAAAAAAAAAAAAACAAAAAAAACAAAAAAAAAAAAACAACTAAATGAAAGGTCTCTGTGAGTGAGATCCCAGTAGAAAGAATGGGCCATCAAAGGAGGAGGTACCTTTCTCTGAAGGGAGGAGAGAACTTCCACTTTGACCATGACCTTGTCTAAATAAGATAGAAGTCAGCGAACTCAAGAGGCTTCCATAGCCTTGGAAACTCATGACTAGAGCCCAGGGAGATTTCTGATGCCATAAACAAGAGTGTCAAATTGTTAAGTCAACAACAGGAGTCACTGTGCACTTACTCCTCATGCGGGATCTCTGTCCTTAATGTGTTGCCCAATGTGAGTTAATGCTATAACTAGTACTCAAACAGTATTTTACACTTTATGTTCTGTGTGATGCAAACTGATGAAATCTTTACTTAATATATACTAAATTGATCTTCTGTATATAAAGTTAATTGAAAATGAATCTTGATGTGAATGGAATGGGAGAGGGAGTGGGAGATGGGAGGGGTGCGGGTGGGAGGGAAATTATTGGGTGGGGGGAAAGCCATTGTAATCCATAAACTGTACTTTGGAAAATTATATTTACTAAATAAAAGTGTTTATAATAAAGAAAAGAAAAGAAAAAATGTGTTTCTGCATATGAAAGTACTTCAAAAATTCATGAAAAATGGAATTGAAAGGTTTTACTTCAGTGCAAAAAACATTTGAAATTCATGAATAGTTTTTCACAACACAGCATTTTGAAGACTCCTCAGATTTGTGAGTTCTCTAATTTTCTTCGTGTTCAAAAATTTTTATGGTAATCAGTTTCCTACAGAGCTTTACTTACCATAATTTGATAATTTTGTTAAGATTATATATTTAAGCCGGCGCCGCGGCTCACTAGGCTAATCCTCCGCCTAGCAGCGCCGGCACACTGGGTTCTAGTCCCGGTCAGGGCGCCGGATTCTGTCCCGGTTGCCCCTCTTCCAGGCCAGCCCTCTGCTGTGGCCAGGGAGTGCAGTGGAGGATGGCCCAGGTGCTTGGGCCCTGCACCCCATGGGAGACCAGGAAAAGCACCTGGCTCCTGGCTCCTGCCAGGATCAGCGCGGTGCGCCGGCTGCAGCGGCGGCCATTGGAGGGTGAACCAACGGCAAAGGAAGACCTTTCTCTCTGTCTCTCTCTCTCTCACTGTCCACTCTGCCTGTCAAAAAAAAAAAAAAAAAGATTATATATTTATTTGGAAGGCAGAATGACAGAGAAAGAGATCTTTCATCCACTGATTCACTCCCCAAATGACCGCCACAGCTGAAGCCGGGCTTGACCTCCACCTGGGTCTCCCATACTGGGGGCAAGAACTCAAGTACTTGAGTATCATCCACTGCTTTCCTGGGTACATTAGCAGGGAGCTGGAACAAGAGTGGAAAGCCAGAACTCAAACCACCAGTCTGATAAGAGATGCAGGTGTCTCAAACAGTAGCTTAACCAGTTGTGCTACAATGCCAACCTATTATTTTAATAATTTTATAATACTCTATTTCTCCAGAAGCCCAAACCCAGAGTTGAGCTTTGAGGTCAGACAGAAAGCTTGATTCCAAATGTTCGGTGTCCTTGGACAATTTTTAAACTTTAAGTTTCACTTTGTACATGTTTAAAATGAGGATTATAGGAAAACCTACATCATAAATATAGTGTAAGATTATATGAAATATATATACAAATCCTTTACTGGTACCTGATTCATAGTAAATGCTGAGTGGTAGCTCTTAGAATTATGTTAAATTCCATTGTTAAAATTGAGAAAACTATCAGCACTGAGATTATTGTTCATTATTGCATATGCTTCTTCAGTTGTCTTTGTGAAATCACTTTATAATTAATCTTTGATTCACCAAGATTCTATATTTTTCTCACAGGGTGTAATTATTTAACAAATAACATTTTTCCCTCTATTGGTATACAGTCCAGATTTGCCAGTTTCTGATTGCTAACCCAGTAAACAAACGATTATTTTAGATTTATTTTAGAGACTTCCTTGAATTAAAATGGATCCCTTTTCTGGCTATATTCCAGCCCCATTCACAGAACACAAAGCTGAAGACACTTTTATGGCTTTCTCATTCCTATAAGTATATGTACAAACCAGTAAGTGAATATATTTGCTCTTTCCAGCATACTTACTTCTAACAAAAATAGGCATTAGACCTCAAGGTATGAAAATGAGGCAAAGGGATAACTGACCTCTGACAAATACTCATGAGCTCTGGTTTTTCACTAGGAAAGACCCCTATTTTCAACTAATGTTTCCCCTAGGTTTTATCTGTTTAAGATATTTTAAGTTGAAATTTGAATGGAGGACATTGAGTTAACACTACCTCCTGTCTTCATGGACACACAAATTTTAGAAAACTTTTTTTTGTTGTTTTCATGAGAAAGGGTATGCTTTAGATAGTTAAAGATCTGAAATTGTTGTAACTGAGAATTCTCTAGTAATGTGATATAAGTTTATACATTTACATGTTTTCTTTCACAGGTTTCTTTAGTTATTGGCGAGGCAATTTGGCAAATGTTATCCGGTACTTTCCAACACAAGCTCTAAATTTTGCTTTTAAAGACAAATACAAACAACTTTTCATGTCTGGAGTTAATAAAGAAAAACAGGTAATTACATTTCAATACTTAAAATTTTTTAAATGGTTAGATTTGTCTTGCTTATGATGTTTTATACTTGGAGAGGAAGAAAAAACAATCAGAACATATTGATAACATAGGATGTATTAAGTTATAGAGATTACATATGAAAAACAGAATTATGTTACATTTCATAAAGTTCATATAAACTTCCTATAGTTTCATCAGTTAAGGGATCTTTTATCTGAAGGCACTATTTCTCTGAATAAATATGAAATTTAAGAGAGTTTATATCATATAATGACTGTTTCTCTGCACTGGGGAAATTCAGCATTATCTGTTTTTCTTGAGCACAAAAGTAGTCAGCAAATTATATTTCCTACCACTGAGGTAATTTATTGCCCAAAGAAGTAAATTTTTTCATCATTACTAATGATCTGTTGACCTAAGATTAAAGTCTGTATGACAGTCAAATCAAACAAAACAGGAAAATAACAAACTTAGGTTAGAGAATCCTCATTTTTGTTACCAAGATGCTTTTTTATTTGTTTTTAAAGATAATTACCTTGGTTACAAAATCTCAATTTCAAAATTTCTTGCTGGTGTGAGCTACATTGCCATTTTTTTAAGATTTATTTATTTATTTGAAAAAAGAGTTAGAGAGAGAGAGAGGGAAAGAGAGTCTTCTGTCTGCTGGTTCAATGCCCAACTGGCCACAATGGCTGGAGCTGTGCTGATCTAAAGCCAGAGTCAGAGGCTTCTTCCAGGTCTCTCATGTGAGTGTAGGAGCCCAAGGGCTTGGACCATCTTCTGCTTTCCCAGGCCATAGCAGAGAGATGGATCGGAAGTAGAGCAGCGAGGACTTAACTGGCGCTCACATAGGATGCCAGCACTGTAGGCGGCGGCCTTACCCCGCCACACTACAGCACCAGCCCCCCTACATTGTCATTTGTCTCCACTTCATTTTGGATTTTGAATTTCCAGATTAGAGATATTCAACAGTAAGGTTTATGGAAATATTGCAAATTCAAAAAAAATCTAAAGCTTGAACACTTACACCCCAAGTACTTTAGATGAAAAATATTCAACCTGCACTGATATAATATGGACTAAGAGACTGTAAAAAAAAAAAAGTGTCATTATATAATGATAGTCAGTTCATCACAAGGATATAACAATTATAAATATCCAAGCAGTTTTCAGAAAAGTTTATAGAAGATGCACATGGGCTGGCGCCACGGCTCAGTAGGGTAATCCTCCACCTGCGGCGCCAGCACTCCGGGTTCTAGTCCCAGTCAGGGCACCGGATTCTTTCCCGGTTGCTCAGTTTCCAGTCCAGCTTTCTGCTGTGGCCTGGGGGTACAGTGGAGGATGGCCCAAGTGCTTGGGCCCTACACCCGCATGGGAGACCAGAAGAAGCACCCAGCTCCTGGCTTTGGATCAGCGCGGTGCGCCAGCCACAGCAGCCATTGGGGGTGAACCAATGGAAAAAGGAAGACCTTTCTCTCTGTCTTTCTCTCTCACTGTCCACTCTGCCTGTCAAAAAAAAAAAATGCACATTACGAAAATTCTGTGCATGTAACTATGTTACAATTATAAGAAGTCTGAAAAGGATCTGCCTTGAAGCAGTAATACATCAGTTTGAAAAGAACTCGTATTAGACACACATGAATTCTGCTAAAATTAAGAAAAGAATAAATGTAAATTTTGTAGTAAAATTGGATGGAATTATAGTGAAATCATTGATACTTTAAAAAAAATTAGAAGGACAATACCCCAAAGAAGTCAGCAGTTCAAAAAATGGATAACTTTTTTTTTTTTTTTTTTTTGACAGGCAGAGTGGACAGTGAGAGAGAGAGACAGAGAGAAAGGTCTTCCTTTGCCGTTGGTTCACCCTCCAATGGCCGCAGCGGCCGGCGCACCGCACTGATCCGATGCCAGGAGCCAGGTGCTTTTCCTGGTCTCCCATAGGGTGCAGGGCCCAAGCACCTGGGCCATCTTCCACTGCACTCCCTGGCCACAGCAGAGAGCTGGCCTGGAAGAGGGGCAACCGGGACAGAATCCGGCGCCCCAACCGGGACTAGAACCCGGTGTGCCGGCGCCGCTAGGTGGAGGATTAGCCTAGTGAGCCGCGGCGCTGGCCGGATAACTTGTTTTAAGAAGGGATGAGATGGGACTGGCACTGTGATATAGTGGGTAAAGCCACCACCTACAGCCCTGGCATCCCATATGGGCATCAGTTCAAGTCCCAGCTGCTCCACTTCCAATCCAGCTCCCTGGTAATGCACCTGGGAAAGCAGTGGAAGATGGCCCAAGTCTTTGGGTCCCTGTACCAATGTAGGAGACCTGAAAAAAGCTCCTGGCTCTTGGCTCCAAATCAGCCTAGCTCTGGCTGTTGCAACCATTTGGGGAATAAACCAGTGGATAGAAGCTCACTCTCCCTCTCTCCCTCTCTCCCTCTCTCCCTCTCTCCCTCTCTCCCTCTCTCCCTCTCTCCCTCTCTCCCCCCTTCCCCTCCCTCCCTCTCTCCCCTGCTCCTTCCTCAACTCTGCCTTTCAAATAAATAAATAAATCTTAAGAAAAAAAAAGATGAGACAGTGGTGAAGATGAAGCTTAAAGTAGCAGATCATACACATCCATGTACAAGGGAAAAATTAATCTTGTTCATGCACTAATTAAAGAGGACTGACAGTTAAACAGCCAGTGCCATAGACATTTCAACTGGTTCAGTTTACACAATTAAAAAGGAACCCTTTGTATACTGTTGTTGGGATATAAATTAGTACAGTCATTTTAGTAAACACTATGGAGTTTCCGCAAAAAAATGTAAAAATAAGAGCCATTTTTGTGGCACAGTGGGTCAAGTTGATACCTGTGACGCCAGCGTCCCATGTGAGTGCTGTTTTGAGTCCTGGCTGCTCCACTTCCAATCCAGCTCCCTGCTGATGTGCCTAGGAAAGCAGCAGAAGATGACCCAAGTGCCTGGGCCCCTGTCACCCACCTGGGAGAACCATATAGAGTTCCTAGCTCATTGCTTCTGCATGGCCCAATCCTGGCTGCTATAGCCATTTAGGGAATAAACCAATGGATGGAAGATCGATATCGCTTTCTCTTTCTTTCTCTCTCTCTCTCTCTTCCAAATAATCTCTAAAAATAAAAATAGAACTGTAGCAGTTCTTGAACAGAAGTTCTTGAACAGAAATATGGGACACTGAGGCTTCAGTGGGAAAAAACAGTCTTTATTATGCTGGCATAAGGCTCAGTTGAATTCACTTCCAAAAGGACTGAGCCCCAAACAAAGAAAGGCATTTCCTTATATATGTTTTAGCTTCTTTGTCTCCCTTATATGGCTACATACATATATTTGGCTATTCTAATGCTACATGGAGGCTATAAATAAAAGATTGCACATATAGATAAAAGTTGCTGATAATGTTTAGTTTCCCTTAATACACATAATATGTCTTCCCCACACATACTGAGCTGTACGCTGTCTGGTACTGGTTAGCATAATCACTCTGTGCTGTCAGGCAGATACTGGAGCAGTTACAAGCAGGTACACGGGGTTGCATTCCATCCCAGGATAGGCCTGTTCTGCTATTTCAGAAAGGCTCCTGTCACAGAACTAGTGTATGATCCAGCGGTCCCACTACTGGGTATATCCAAAGAAACCAAAATCATTATGTTGAAGAGGTATCTAGACTGCCATGTTCACTGAAGCACTACTTGTGTATATGTGTATATTTATGATTGCATTCAATTTGAGAGGAGTTAGAGTTAAGACAAGATTTCATGAAAGGTGATAGAACTTCAACTACAAGTCGTCAAGGAAGGGCATTCCAGGCCAAGAAAAAATTTGGAGAGTTCCTAAGCTATTTAAGACTTAAAACTTGGGGCCAGAATTGTGACGTAGTAGATGAAGCTGCTGGCAATGACACAGACATCAAATATGGGTGCTGCTCTGCTTCCAATCCAGCTCCCTGCTAATAGCCTGGGAAGGCCGTGGAAGATGGCCCAAATCCCTGGGCTCCTGCCACCCATGCAGGAGACCTGAATGAAGCTCCTGGCATCAGCCTGGCTCAGTCCGAGCTGTTGTAGCCATCTGGAAAGTGAACCAACAGATGAAAGGCACGCGCTCCCTGCCTCCTTCTAACCCCCTCCCCCACCACATAACTTTCAAATAAATAAATAAAAGATTAAAGCTTATTAGAAATAAGAGCCAGAGAATAAAGCTTGACTAGAATATTATTCCCTTTATTTAATGATTACAGAGGACTTATGCCCTGGATTTTCCTTAACAGCTCAAATTCAGAATTTCCTTTCTTTTTCCATATTCCCCAGATGTTGAAGAGCAGCTTGCTGGGCCTGGAAAGGCCACATCTTTAATGTTTATCAAAAAGAAATTATACTTCCTCAACATGTGAGCTGGTAGACCAAAAAGGCCTAACCTAGATGCCACTCAACTACATTGTAACTGATGTCTTCCAATTTTGATGTCATTTGAATATAAGTATATATTTTTGAACTGTTAAAATTTAATTCTAATATGATTACAAAGCGAAACTAGGGCATTATGAAGTACTACTGTTCCCCTCCCAAGAGTAGGGCACAACTGAAGGTTCCATATATGCCTGACATTTAAAAATGATGGATGTAGCTAACACTAAGGTCTGAGGGAATGATTATCTAATATGGCTTCTCTTGGTAACTTGGGCCCCTTTTGCTGGTGAATGTTAAAATATTGTCAAGTTTCTGGAGGTCACATCTAAACTATCTCTCTCAGACTGCATAGTGAGACACAAAGGCTACATGGATATGAAGAGAAATATTTTGGATAATACGGTATATGTTATTTATAGATATTTATATAAACAGCTTGTGAATCTGACCTTTTTTCTTATCCTTTTTTTCTTTCATTTCTCTTTTTTCATTTTATTTTTAAAGAATCTGATCTTTTAATGTTTATTTAAAAAAGAATTTACCAACTGCTTTAAAGAGTCTTTAGTGTAATAACTACTTTTTTTATGTTTCAGTTCTGGAGGTGGTTTTTGGCAAACCTGGCTTCTGGTGGAGCTGCCGGAGCAACATCTTTGTGTGTGGTTTATCCTCTAGATTTTGCCCGAACTCGGTTAGGTGTTGACATTGGAAAAGGTATGTATGTTTAGAAATATTACTTCTTTCTTATTTTTGCTGGGAACTATCTGTTATTTATTATAGAGTTATGCTACACTAACAGTATTACTAGATATAGTATACAGATTTTACTCTCAACCAAACAATGGAGCCTAATTAGACTTTTTTCTTTTTCCTTAAAAGAGGCAGGGGGGATGCCAGTTGTAACAAAAGCAAACCCAAAGTCTACTTATAGCTTACTTCCATTTTCTTCCTAGAGAGCCCCTTCTATGGCTCCTGTCTAGATGAGATGCACAACTCAACCTGCAGATTCCTTTAGCCTCTATCCTTACTTAAATAGCACATCTTCCCATTTTGTTGTTACAGCCTTGTTTTGGGAGACTGTATTCTTTGGTAGCTTTCTGAGAAGTAGAAATAGGAGGTAAATTGAAATCTTTAATGTCTAAAAATATTTGTTTTACCTTTATTTTTCAATATATATAAAATTCTAGATTTAAAATTATTTTCCTTCAAAAATTTGAAAGCATTACCCTAGCTTCTGGTTTCTAATGTTGCTGTTAGGAAATTACACCAGCATCCTATATGGGCACTGGTTCAAGACCCGGCAGTCCTTTCTGTCTTGGAAAACTTTGTGAATTTTATTTATCTGTCATGAACTCTTCTTTACCTATGTGACTGTAAAAACTTTTATTACTCTGTCACTCTTTTAACAGGGTTTCTTCAGGGAGCATAGGTTCACTCAACAAATCTTTATTGAGTGCTTGCTAAAAACCAGGTCCTCTCAGACACACACACTCTCGTTGCAGATATAAGACATGGAGCTCATGCTTAATATACCTTATAGTTTAATGTTAACACAAGTAATAAAAAGAATGACTAAAACATTGTCACTTAATGATAAATGCTAGGGAAAAAATTAAGAGAATGACACCAATTATAGGTAAGTGATCAGAGAAAATGTCTCAAAAGGGATAGCAGTTTGAACAAGGGTAAAAGTATGAATTCCAGCTGTTACAACTGAAAGTCAAAATTTTTATTGCTTATAAATGAAAACAACTTAGTGTATCTTGCTTTAAGTTCTGTAGTTTTTCAAAATGATGAGAATTTAGTTTATTTTAGAAGATTATAATTAAGACATTATCAAGGAGTTCTAAGTCAAAGGAAAATACAAAACCAGCAAAACTGAGAAGATATGACACATCATGTGAAGTACTTGTCCTAAACTAATTTTAAGCTTTGTCTTTTTTTCTACAGTCCTAGAATGTTTTTCATTCCTAAGTATTTTCTGGTAAATCTGGGTAACTTTAATGAAATATTTTAAGTCAGATTGTTTGAATTAGATTGATTTTTGTTGAGTTAATATTTGCAGTTTATTTATTAATTTATTTTTTAAGATTTTATTTCAGAGATAAAGAAAGTGAGAGGGAGAGACAGAGAGAAATGTCTTCCATCTACTAGTTCACTCCCTAAATGGCTGCAAAGGCCAGAGCTGCACTGATCTAAAGCCAGGAACCAGGAGCCAGGAGCTTCCTTTGAGTCTCCCACATGGGTGCAGGGGCCCAAACATCTGGGCCATCTTCCACTGCTTTCCTAGGCCACAGCAGAGAGCTAGATTGGAAGAGAAGCAGCCAGAACTAGAACTGGTTTCCATTTTGGATGCTGGCATGCAGGCAGATTAACCTACTGAGCCACAGCGCCATTCCCTTTAATTTATTTATTTGTTTGTTTATTTTTAATGATTTTATTTATTTATTTGAATGACAGAGTTACTGTGAGAGGGAGAGACAGAAAGGTCTTCACTTAATTTATTTTAAAATACTGCTTGAAATCTTTTTTATCTTCAGATGAATGAGAGGATTTAGATTTGTGCCTTCTTCATTAAAATTCCAGTTTGAACTCCAGATCATTAAAATCTATAAGATGTTTAATTTACTTTGACTAAAGTATTTATTTGTTATGTAATATTGCTAATATATTTTAAATGGTTTTATTTTAGGTCCTGAAGAGCGACAATTCAAGGGTCTAGGTGACTGCATTATGAAAATAGCAAAATCAGATGGCATAGTTGGTTTATACCAAGGGTTTGGTGTTTCAGTTCAGGGAATCATTGTGTACCGAGCCTCTTACTTTGGAGCTTATGACACAGTTAAGGTAAATTTTGGAGCTTTAACTTAGATATGCTACATAAATGGTGCATTTCTTTTTATTCTACTTAGTAACACATTCAGTGGATATTGCTTTTGATTATAAGAATCAAATGATAAGAGATGAAATTCTGTTAAATCATGACTTTAGCATACTAAATATGTATTATGGTTCTGACTATATATAAAACGTATATCAGAAGCATACTTTTGTCATGGTGTGTGCATTATATTTCGTGTTGGAAATGGAAAATTATATCACAAATTTTTGGCATATAGAACGGTATCTAACAGTTTTTCTGATTTCACATTAACTTTTATTGTTTATTTATTTGAAAGGCAGGGTACAGAGAGGGAGAGGGAGGGGTGGGGGAAAGAGAGAGACATCGTCCATCCAGTGGTTCAAATGGTTGCAATGGCTGGAGCTGGGCCCGTCCAAAGCCAGGAGCTTCCTCCAGGTCTCCCACATAGGTGCAGGGTCCCAAGGACTTGGGCCATCTTCCACTGCTTTCCCAAGCGCATTAGCAAAGAACTGAATTGGAAGTGGAACAGCTGTGACTTGAACTGGTGCCCATATGTGATGCTGATACTGGAGGTGGCGGCTTTATCTGCTATGCCACAGCACTGGCTCCATGCATTAACTTTATTAGTACTTTTTACATGCAAATAATTAAATTCATGTCATCATGTTTGGAAATAGGCAAGGTGTAATTAATTAAATAAAATATGTATTAGATACTGTTAAATTCTTTGCTTTATTCTCCAAGTGCTTCTGCAATTATTTGAGTAGCTATCACTTCCATAATGTAGGAGAAAGGAAGAGTCTAAAAATGGTTACCATTTTTTTGAGCTATTACTTAGTTCTAGGGACTTTGTTAAGTACTTTATGCCTTCACAATGTCCTGAAATAGTTTTAAAGTCATTTTGAGGGGCCAGCGCTATGGTGTAGTGGGCTAAGCCTTTTTCTGTAGCTCCAGCATTCCATGTGGGTGCCAGTTTGTATCTTAGCTGCTCCTCTTCTGATCCAGCTCTCTGCTATGGCCCAAGTCCTTGGGCCCTTGCATCCAGGAAGGAGACCCGGAAAAAGCTCCTGGCTCCTGACTTCAGATAGGAGCAGTTCCAGCCATTGCAGCCATTTGGGGAGTGAACCAGCAGATGGAAGACCTCTCTCTCTGTCTCCCTCTCTGTGTCTGTAATTATACCTCTAAAATAAATAAATCTTTTTCAAAAATTATTTTTAACATAAATAGGTTAGGAATAATCATATATTAAACGTGTTAAATTTCAAACAGGTCTATGCTTTTAATCACAATATAATACTTCCCAAAGGAAGCAATAGAATTAATATCAGTATTATTTATTAAATAAGATGAAAACTTGAGGGAAATTTTGTAATAAAAGTATATATCATTTCTGCCCTCCTTTGTTAGCATAAATGTAATTAAATGTTATTGTGGTTTAGATGGCATATTTTTAACAGATATGATAATGGAAATTACAAAATCTCAGGTACATTTACTTAATCACAGAGAAATTTATGCTCTCCCTCTTCTTTTCTCTGTTATCAGCTACCTTGGTTGTAAAATTTAGGGACATTTCTTTATTTAGAACTATAAAGCTGCTCGTTAAATGTCATCTGTTGATAATAGCTGTGATTCTTTCATTTTTTTTTCAACTCCACAAAGAGCCAGGGGAAAACTTATTTGGACCCTGGCTGCTCTCTCCTTGGTTTTGCATGCCATTAGTAAATCTGTTTTACTAAATGTGCTTTTTTCTCCCCATATTCTTTTTAAAATAATTTTCTTGTATTTAGTTCGTCTGAAAGGCGGAGAAAGAGCAAAACAAAACTCTCCGATTTGCTTGTTCACTCCCCAAATGTGTACAACAATCAGGGTTGGGCTGGGCTGAGGCTGGAGCCTGGAACTTTGGGTGACAAGGACCCAAGTACTTGAACCTGCTGCCTTCCAGTGTGCATTAGCAGGAAGCTAGAGTGTAGGGTGGAGCCAGTCCTCAAATGTAGGCACCCCTACAGGTGATATGGGCATCCCAAGTTGCAGCTTAGCTTCACCAAATGCCTGCCATCTCCTCCTACCCTGTGTGTTCCTTTGAAGGATAGCCGCGTGTTGGCTGGCATCCGTATTTCTTCCTGATCTGGTATTATAAAATCCAAATATTTTTATTGTGTTTCAAGTAAAATTGAGAGCTCTTTTACGTATTTTTAAAAATTTATTTATGTATTTGAAAGTCAACATTACACAGAGAAAGGAAGAGACAGAGAATCTTCCATCCACTGGTCCACTCCCCAAATGGCCACATTGGCTGGGGCTGGGCCAGACCCAGCCAGGAGCCAGGAGCTTCTTCTGGGTCTCCCTTGTGAGTGCAGGGGCTCAAACACTCAGGCCATCTTCTGCTGCTTTCCCAAACCATTAACAGGGAGCTGGATTGGATGTGGAGCAGTCAGTACTTGAACTGGCACCTATATGGAATTGTGACATTACAGGTGGTGGCTTAACCCATTATACCACAATGCTGGATGTTGTGTCTTTTATATATTTATATGTATTTTTTGTATTTATAAGAATTATCCTTTTGGGGCCAGCGCTGTGGTACAGAGGGTTAACACCCTGGCCTGAGCGCCGGCATCTCATATGGGTGCTGGTTCAAGTCCTGGATGCTCCACTTCCTGTCCAGCTCTCTGCTATGGCCTGGGAAAGCAGTAGAGGATGGCCCAAGTCCTTTGGTCCCTGCACCCACATGGGAGACCTGGAAGAAGCTCCTGGCTTCAGATCAGCACAGCTCCAGCCATTGTAGCCAGTTGGGGACTGAACCATCGGATGGAAGACCTCTCTCTCTCTCTCTTCTCTCTCTCTCTGCCTCTCCTCCCACTATGTAACTCTTGCTTTCAAATGAATAATAAATCCATCTTTTAAAAAAAAAAAAAAGAATTATCCTTTTGAGGCCAATGCAATGGCTCAGCAGGTTTAAGCTCTCTGTTAATGGCCTGGGAAATCAGCAGAAGATGGCCTTAGTGCTTGGGTCCCTCTACCCACATGGGGAGACGTAGAAGAAGATTCCAGCTTCTGGCTTTGGCCTGGCCCAGTCCCAGCTGATGTGGCCACTTGGGAAATGAACCAGCGGATGGAATATCTCTCTCTCTCTCTCTCCTGCTGTCTCTGTGTAACTTTGCCTTTCAAATAAATAAATAAACCTTCTTTAAAAAATTATAAAAAAAAGAATTATTCTTTGACTTCAATACTTAAAGTATTTTGGGAAGTGTAAATGTTTACTTGATATATTTTTCATTTTTAGGGCTTATTACCAAAACCAAAAGAAACTCCATTTCTTATCTCCTTTTTCATTGCTCAAGTTGTGACTACATGCTCTGGAATACTCTCTTACCCCTTTGATACAGTGAGAAGACGCATGATGATGCAGGTATTTTACATTATTTATAAGGTTGAAAAAATTTTAATTAAAAACATTTTGACACACATAAACTTGTACATATTAATGGGTGCCATTTGATATTTCAGCATATGTATACATCATGAAATGTCCAATCAGGGTAAATATCTCTGTCTCTTCAAACATAACTTTTCTTTATTGTGAAAGTATTCAAAATCTTTAGGTTTTTTAAAATAGAGAAATACACAGTGCTTTAACATTATCTATAGTCACAATGTGGTGGAATGGGAAGCTATAACTTCTTACCCCTAAGTATAAATTAGTATCTATTTGTCAACCTTTTGCCATCCTCTCTTCTTCCCTCCCTAGCCTCTGGCAACCTCAGTTGTACTTTTGACTTCTATGAGCTCACCTTTTTTTAGACTACACATATGAGTGAGATCATGGTGTACTTGTCTTTCCATGCTTGGTTTACTTCAGTTAATGTAATGACCTGCAGGTCCATCTGTGTTGCCTGTTTATGACCTTGATTGAGTTTTCCCACATCTCTGATACACAGGTATAATTCATTCAGTTACAGAGACATTTTGGCCAAAAGGCATAGCTCATTTGTTTTCCTTAACTAAACAAATACATGATGTGTTCTGTTTTATAATCTTTCCTATTCTAAAATAACCGTCAGCCAACAGTGCTTCTTCCTCATCCTTCATGAGAACAGAAGTGCCTCCTCCTCCTGTAACATAAATTCCTTGGAGAGTGGAGGATAATGGAAGAGCTGGGATGAGTGTGTCTGTCTTCAATGAAACGTTAGATTAAGTAGAAAGTGCAATCACAAGCCATTGACATGTCATGATTGGTTGTAGTGTTGTTTTTTAAAAGATTTATTTATGTATCTATTTGAAAGGCAGAGTTATACAGAGGCAGAAGCAGAAAGAGAGAGAGAGAGAGATCTTCCATTCCCAATTAGCCACAACGGCCGGAGCTGCACCTATCCAAAGCCAGGAGCCAGGAGCTTCCTCTGGGTCTCCTACACGGGTGCAGTGGCCCAAGCACTTGGACCATCTTCTGGTGCTTTCCCAGGCCATAGCAGAAAGCTGAATCAGAAGTGGAGCAGCTGGGACTCGAACCGGCGCCCATATGGGATGCCGGCACTACAGGTGGTGGCTTTACCCGCTATGCCACAGTGCCGCCCCCCATAGTGTGTTTTGATAAAGTAGATCATTTTGAGCTGCAAGGATGAAAACTTGTTTATAATAATGGTCTATACTCTAAATATAAATCTATAAACCAAAATTTTTTATACTTAATCTTCATAGCTGTTACTTGTATTCATTCTTTCAACAAGTATTTGAGTGCTTAATCTATGTTAAACTTAAGTGGCACAAAGCAGACAGAACCTGCACCTAAACTCATAATTTGGTACTAAAGACAATATAGTTTAATGGTTTAAACAGAAATATGCATAGGTTTCAGGAATGCCTAGAGAGATGCCCAGATGCCTAAAGTGATCAGATGTGACCTCTTGGATAACTGCATCTTAGGGAATAGGCTTTCTGCAGACGTAGAATATTCTAAACATAGGGAAAAATACCATACAGAGAAGTGTGGTTTGGAAATTAATTCATTTTAGCCACATTATAGTATTATGGCAAGTGAAAACATTAGCATTAGTTTATTTAAGAAGCAGAGCGATAAACAAAAAGACCTTCCATCAGCTGGTTTCCTCTGTAAATGCCTGCAACGGCTGGGGCTGGGCCACAGAGTTAAAGCCAAAAGCCATGAACATGATCCAGGTCTCCCATGTGGATAGCAGGAACCCAGCTATTAAGCTATCACCACTGACTGCCTCCCAATTTCTGCATTGGCAGGAAGTTGGATTCAGGAGCCGCAGCTAGGAATTAAACCCAGGCACTCCAGTGTGGAAGGAAGATGGGCATCTTAACTGCTAAGTGAAATGTCCATTCCTAGCAAATGAAAAAAATGAAGTATGAAAGCTAGAATAGTAATATCCTGCTTATTTGTGCCATATACTGTCCTAAGAATTTTATACTTTCATTCATTAAATTCTTGGGCTGGTGCTGTGGAGTAGCAGGTTAAGCTATTGCCTGCAGCTCTGCATCCCATATGGGTACTGGTTTGAGTCCCAGCTGCTCCATTTCCTATCCAGCTTCCTGCTAATGTTTTAGCCTGGGAAAGCAGTGGAAGATGGCCCAAGTGCTTGGGCCCTTGCCATGCATGTAGAAGACCAGGAAGGAGCTCCTTGCTCCTAGCTTTGATCTGACCCAACCCCAGTCACCCAGTCATTGGTGGCCATTTGGGGAGTGAACCTGTGGATGGAAGATATCTCCCTCTCTCCCTCTTCCGTCTCCCCTCTCCCCCCCTCCCGTCTCCCCTCTCCCCTCTCTCCCCTCTCTCCCCTCTCCCCTCTCTCCCCCCTCCCCCCCTCCCCCCTACCCCCTACCCCCTACCCCTCTCCCTGTCTGCCTTTCAAGTAAAATAATCTTTTTTAAAAATTCATTAAATGTTCAAGATGGGGTGGTGTTGTGGTATGGCACATGGAGCTACCGTCTGTGATGCTGACTTCCAATATGGGCGCTGGTTTGTGTCTTGGCTGCTTCTTGTCCAGCTCCCTGCTGATGGCCTGACAAAGGCAGCAGAGGATGACCCAAGTGTTAGGGTTCCTGCCAGCTGTGAAGGAGACCTGAGTGAAGTTCCTGATTTCAGCCTGGTCCAGCCATGGCCATTTCTGGAGAGTGAGCCAGTGGATGAAGATCTCCCCCCAACAACTATGACTTTCTAAATGGATAAATAAACCTTAAAAAAAAATTCTCAAGACAATGCTATGAGGTGCAATGGTCATTATTATCCTTACTTTTGTTGTCTACAAAATGAACCCGGAAGAATCTAATAGGCCATCTGGAAGAGTAAAGCTAACTTATTACTTCATTTGTGAACTGTCCTTAGAGTTACCATTTTTACATCTGTGTTTCTTCTTCCTATAGCTGCCTCTAGTTTAGAACGCTGAGAAATTTTAAAAAGTGGAAAATTAATTTGCATGTAGACCATAAATTAGGTGAATGGTGTTGTATCAGTGTTAAATTTCCTGAGCTTGATAACTGGGTATGTAAGAAAAATATATACACTGAAGTGTCTAAGGATAATGTAGCACAGTTATCTACAATTTACTCTTCAAATGGCACAGAAAATAATTGTGGCTATTTGAGTTTTTATATCTACACGTACATACATTAGTTTGCTAGGGCTACTATAACAAATGCCACAAAGTGAGTGGCTTAAATAATAGACATTTATTTCCTCACAGTTCCGAATGCTAGCAATCAGAGATCGAGATGTGGTCAGGGTTTTTTCTGGAGGCCTCTCTCCTTGGCTTGTAGGTGGCCACCTTCTTCTGTATCTTCACATGGTCCTTTTGTTATTCCTATAAGGACAGTCACATTGGATTAGAATCCTGTCTTGTGATCTCATTTAACCATAATTTCTTTAAAGATCCTATTTCCGTTTTTAAAAAAAAATTTTATTTTACTATTTGAGAGGTAGAGTTACAGACAGTGAGAGGGAGAGACAGAGAGAAAGATCTTCCTTCCATTGGTTCACTCTCCAGATGGCCGCAATGGCCAGAGCTGCACCGATCTGAAGCCAGGAGCCAAGTGCCTCTTCCTGGTCTCCCATGCCAGTGCAGGGGCCTAAGCACTTGGGCCATCCTCAACTGCTTTCCCAGGCCATAGCAGAGAGCTGGATTGGAAGAGGGGCAACCGGGACTAGAACCGGCACCCATATGGGATGCTGGCACCGCAAATGAAGGATTAACCTACTGTGCCATGGTGCTGGCCCCATGAAGATCCTGTTTCCAAATACAGTCATATTCTGAGATATGGAATGTAAGGACTTACACTTGCTGAGGCCTCTGATTCTCTGTTATGTTTAAAAAGTAGTAATTGGGACTGGTGCTGTGGCTAAGTGGGTTGAGCCACTGCCTACAGCACCAGCATCCCATATGGGCACCAGTTCGAGACCCAGCTGCTATACTTCTGATCCAGCTTCCTGGTGGTGCACTTGGGAAAGCAATGGAAGATGGCCCAAGTCCTTAGGCCCCTGTACACACTTGGGAGACTTAGAAGGAGCTCTTACTCAGCTCCTGCCTTCGGACTGGCCCAGCTCCAGCCATTGCGGCCATTTGGGGAGTGAACTGGTGGATGGAAGACCTCTCTCTCTCTCTCTCTCTCTCTCTCTCCCTCCCTCTCCCTCTCCCTCTCTCTCTAACTCTGCCTTTCAAGTAAATAAATAAATCTTTCAAACAAAAACTACAAATACATGGTGCATGTCAGGAAGTGATAAATAGTAAGAAGAAAAAAAAACCAGATTAAGAGGATAGAGAGTAGCTGGAATATTAAAAAAATAAAAGTAGTAATTAATAAGCTTGTTCTTTATCTTACAAGGAAAACCTTCAGTATATTAGCTGTAGGAATTTCTGTAGTTATCCCTTGTCATGTTATGGAAGTTCCTTTCTATTCCTGGGTTACAAAAATTTTTAATCATGAATGTTGGTCATGTTTTTTCCATATCTGTTGAGATGATAATATTTTTTTCTTGTAGTGTGTAACATACTGTGCTGCGTTAATCTGTTTTCTAGAATTAAACCTACCTTGTGTACCTGGGATAAACCCAGGTTAGTAATGGTATTTTGTGTTTTGTATCCCTTGCTGGATCCGATTTACTGGGTTTTGTTTAGTTTTGTTTGTTTAGCTGTCCCAACTGGCAGCTTAACCACTAAGCTGAATGACAACTCCCTTGGACTTTTTTGCTCTCTGTTGGGTGTTTTTTCTATTATCTTTTGACTTTTGGGGCACTCATTTGTGTATGATTTCTATTTCCTTTATTTCTGCTGATTATCTTCTTATTTTTGCTTTTCTTAGGTTTATACTTTTTCTGAAAATGTCTAGGCTGTTAATTTTCAGCCTTTCTTTTTAGTATTTCAAGATCACTAATTTTCTTACAAATTGTCACTCAAATTGCTTCTTACAAATTCAGTTAAGAAGTTGTGTGGTTGTCATCTGGCTTTCAGTATTTTGTAAGAAGTGTTTTTCTATCTAAACATAATGATATTTTTAGTTACCTTTTCTGCCATTGACTGCCCATATGATTTCAAGGTAATGAGAGGAAAAACCATGTCCCATGTGATGCCATCCTTGATATTTGTTAAGCCTAGTGTATGGTCAGTTTTCAAGTGTGCTGAAACAGTTTCTCCAGCCACGAGGACTCGTATTATGCTCATTAACACTGCACAGTCTTAGTGAACACAGTGTGAATCTTATCTATCTGCAGTAATGACAAAAAACTTAAGATCAATGATATTAAGATAATGGAAAACTATTTATCTGTCTTCATATAGAGTGGTGAAGCTGAACGGCAGTATAAAGGAACCTTAGACTGCTTTGTGAAGATATACCAACATGAGGGAATCAATGCATTTTTTCGTGGTGCCTTCTCCAATATCCTTCGTGGTACAGGGGGTGCTTTGGTGTTGGTGTTATATGATAAAATTAAAGAATTCCTTAAAATTGATATTGGAGGTGGTTCATCAGATTAAATTGAGAAATATGTGTACTTAATTGTTAAACATACAAATTACATACCTGCCATGTATATGTATACATTTGGGTAGTATTAATATCATTATTTTCTTAAAGCGCTATTTCCACAATAAATCCTAGGCATTTTTCAAAGATTTAAATACTAAAAATCAGACAAATGTGGATTTCCCTCCCACTTAGACCCAAACTCATTTTAATGAGACACTTACTATAAGTATTGTATGTTATTTCTATTAGTTTAAAATTCTTTCTTACTTTTGTGATGAAAAATTAAAATGTATAATGCTGAAAACTAAGAAGTAAAACTATCTTCTTTTAAATTACTATTCATTTAATATACCTATTTTCAAATCTTTTATAATCATATGATATGACAAATATTTCTTAAAAGCTTATCAAGAGGTGTCAATTATATATATAGGAATAAATGTTTTTTCTACAACATCTCTAATACAGTTCAGTTATTACTGTATATGATATTATAGTATCATACAGCTTTTGATAAGCACAGATTAGATTTAGTCATTAAAAATTTGATAATGACACTATAAAGCTGCAGTTGGAATATAAAAGATATAAAAAGGTTTATATGCTAATCTAAACTTTTTCTACTGTGAGTGTGTCTTGGAACAAAAAATGTCTTGGAAGTTGGTTTATGTATTCTGTATTGATAATAAAGGAAGTTTAAAACTGTTATTCATGGGCCTTCTTCCCAACTACCTTTATTTACTTACTTATTTATTTATTTTAAGATTTTATTTCTTTGAGAGGTAGTTACAGACAGAGGGAAAGACAGAGAAAGGTCGTCTGTGTCGCTCCCCCTCTTCGTGGAGGAACGACACAGGACCCTGCGCTGTTCTTTCGTCTGCTCGGCCCTCCCCGGGTTTGCTGCTGGTTCTTCCCGGGTTGGCTACTATCCCTTCCACCTCCGTGGAAGGGCAGTTCCCCCTGGCCGCATTCCCCACTTCCGCAGGGGAGCGGCACACCGCCGGCCGGCTCTTCTCGGGGGCTGCACAGGTGTTCCCTCAGCTAGATGTTCCCCGTAGATGTTCCTGGTGCATGCCGTCTCTCTCCTCCTTTATAGTCCTCCTCCGCCAATCCCAACTCGGCTGCCCACACGCCGAGTACGCTGCTCTCCTCCAATCAGGAGCAAGTCCTACAGTTAATTGGTTGAACTGGAGGCAGCTGTGCGGAAGCTGTTTACTTCTCTCCCAGCGCCATATTGTGGGAGAGCAGATGCATAGAATAAGTCTTAATTCCAGTAACAGTCTAGTCCGAGCTGCTCCCCACAGATCCCCCTTTCTTTTTATTTTTTTGGCGTTGATACGCGCCTGTCTTCGGTGTCCCGCAGCACACACTCTGCTCTACTTGCTAGAGTTGCCACAGGCTCTTACAAGTCCTATCAATCAGGAAAACCGAATCCGGGTCCTCTCTTCGCCATTGTGAGGAGGTTTTTAGGCACTGATGCGTGCCTGTGTTCGGTGCCCTGCAGCGCATGCTCTGCTCTGCCCGCAGGGGCTTACAAAACCTATCAGGCAAACCGAATCCAAGCCTTCTCATTGCCTTATTGTGGGGGAGACTTATTAGTGTTGGTTCGTGCCTATCTTCGGTGACCTGCAGCTCATACTCTGGTCGAGCTTTGCTGGCGCTTACCGCCTTAGATCAGGCAGACCGAATCCAAGCTTTCTCATTGTTGTATTGTGGGGAAGCTTTACTGATGTTAATTCGTGCCTGTCTTTGGTGACCTGCGGCTAGCCGCCCAGGTGCTCATCGCCTCACTAATCGGGCAGACCGAATCCAAGCCTTCTAATTGGCATGTTGAGGGGAGGCCTTATTTCTCTCTATTTCTCTATCTCCGGGCATTCCTATTTCTCCCATTTTACTTCTATCTTCCAGCATTCCTATTTCTCTCACTTTACTTCTAAAACTTCTGTTTCTCTTATCCCCGCAGCTTCCCGGCACCTCGCCCCGCCGGCGGGTTCCCGGCTCTGCGCCGCTTCAGCCCGCGCGCCTCTCTCATCTGCGCAGCTTCCCGGCTTTGCGCGGCTCGGCTTTGCGCGCTCCGTGGTCTCCACGCTTAACCCTTTCGCGTCTGAACCACGGCCTACGCCAGCGTTCCCTATCTATTCACGCCCCGTGCTCTCTCTGCACGCGGCGGCTTCCGCGAGTAACACAGCGTAGCTCACGTGTCCGCCACTAGCATTCAATCTAAGTTCCCCGGGCTAGCCTGGCGAATTCAACCCAGCGTACGTCTCCGCCCCACGGTTTGGCTTCCCGTCCTTTGCTCCCCGGGCTAATCAGACGGATCCCAACCAGGCTCACGTTTCAGCTTCTAGTTTCAACTTTTCGCCCCCTATTCCCGGGCTAACTTGAGAATCCCAAAGTGGCTTTCGTATCCGCCTCGGCCTGCCCCCCGCGGCTTCAATTTCCCTAACACTTTTCTCTACCCGGTATGTTTCCCTAAGTTTTCTTCCAACAATACTCCTCCCTCATTTCTCCTGGCCTCTCCCCACAGTCCGCGTCGGAGTCTGTTTGTTCTAGCTTTCACTTTCGCTTTCGACCTTAGAGATTTCTCCCAGCTTCCCCCCGTAGTCCGTATCCGAGTCTATGCCTAGGCTTTCAACAGCTTCCTCCGGCACCTCTTTCGTCCGGCTTTTCCCTAGGCTGTTTGCTAGTCTCTCTCTCCGATATTTTCCCTCGGCTGTTTGCTAGTCTCTCTCTCCGATATTTTCCCAGTTCTTCCCGTTTCTTCCCTCCTAAGTTTCCTATCCGTTCTAGGTTTCCTATCCGAGTCACGGCACCATTATGTCGCTCCCCCTCTTCGTGGAGGAACGACACAGGACCCTGCGCTGTTCTTTCGTCTGCTCGGCCCTCCCCGGGTTTGCTGCTGGTTCTTCCCGGGTTGGCTACTATCCCTTCCACCTCCGTGGAAGGGCAGTTCCCCCTGGCCGCATTCCCCACTTCCGCAGGGGAGCGGCACACCGCCGGCCGGCTCTTCTCGGGGGCTGCACAGGTGTTCCCTCAGCTAGATGTTCCCCGTAGATGTTCCTGGTGCATGCCGTCTCTCTCCTCCTTTATAGTCCTCCTCCGCCAATCCCAACTCGGCTGCCCACACGCCGAGTACGCTGCTCTCCTCCAATCAGGAGCAAGTCCTACAGTTAATTGGTTGAACTGGAGGCAGCTGTGCGGAAGCTGTTTACTTCTCTCCCAGCGCCATATTGTGGGAGAGCAGATGCATAGAATAAGTCTTAATTCCAGTAACAGTCTAGTCCGAGCTGCTCCCCACAGTCTGTCTGCTGGTTCACTCCTCAGATGGCCACAAGGGCCAGAGCTGCTGATCTGAAGCCAGGAGCCAGGAGCTTCTTCCAGGTCTCCCTGGAAGGTGGCAGGGACCCAAGCACTTGGATCATCTTCTACTGCTTTCCCAGGTCATAAGCAGAGTGCTGGATTGGAAGTGGAGCACCCGGGTCTCAAACTGGCGCCCACATGGTATTCCAGCACTGCATGGCAGAGGCTTAGCCTACTATGCCACCACAGTGCTAGCCCCATGACTACATTTATTAATAAACAAAGGTCAGCAACATTTTTATCAGAAATTGAACTGGCTTAAAGACATAGAACAAAAGGTATTTCTCAAAGGGGAAATGTAAGCAGCGTTTTCAAGACTTCACACATTTTTTCAGAGATGTTGTGGGAGATAGTACATTGGAATTCCTCAGGATTTTAAAGTTTTAGTGGATAAAGGAATGTTAAGTTAATGGGGATAAGTTATAGAAAGACTTTGTGACACTGTGGGTGGTCCAGATGAGGTAGAGAAACTTCCTGTTGCACAATGGCAACATGTGTAGCAAGAAAAATAATCCAAGCTATACTTTTGAATACAATAGTGTTATCACTTAAGGAAGAAAAAATAAAAAATCTTGAAAACACTCAAACATGGTTTTTTGCAGTGGTCAATGTAACAAATTTTACAAACAAAATAGGTAGTATGTTCTTTTACTTCTACACTAGCAGATAATCCAAAGTAAAATAATAAATTGTTAGAAACAGTTTCACATATAAAATTACTTAGCAAAGTATAAACATTTTAAATTCATACTGAGACATGCAAAGAGGAAAAGCACTTTGGAAATTCCAAATGGAAATTGCAAATGGCATGAATGGAGGTAAACAGGAATTTAATCACTAAATTGCTAGAGGAAGATCCTATTCATTGAAGCCTGGAAGATGTATAGTCAGAACAAAAGAAAATGCTACATAGTCTTCTGCGCTGAGCTAAAAGTGTATACAGAATGAACATCTCTTACCCGAAATCAGAAATGCTCTAAAATCTGAAACTTTTTGAGCACCAACAGTAATACTTACAAAGCATTGGATTTTGGAGCATTTCTGATTATTTTAAAATTAGGAATGTGTTACTGGTAAAGACAGAAAACACTCCAAAAATATGAAAGACTCAAAAATCTGAAAAACTTCTAGTCCCAAGCATTGTAATTTGTGTTACATTAAACAGTTAATAAGCAATGAGTCGTAAGAAAAAGCAAAATCTAGATTTCTAAGGAAATAATTTTTAAATATCAATGCAAATGTTGGAAAATACATAGCTAATATATCTAAAATGTAGTAAGTAAATTATCAGGGATGTATCATGCAGATTCTTTTTGGGTAAGATTTTTAGTTTCCTGCCCTTAAAACTGTCTTGCCAAATATTTAAAATTCCATTCTCAGAGCTTCATTCTTTTATTACATGTTTATCTAATTCACTAAAATACTCCATTAAATGAGATAGCCCTTCGAGTTGGCTAAAACTACATTTGTTGTGGGGCATTTTACACAGTTTTCCCATGGTAAGTTTTGCTTACTGTCTGAGTAGTAAGAGGCCAGAAGCACCTGAGGAAATTTTTACTATGCTATATTCCTGCTCTGGATTGATGCTTTCTATTTAGGACTTTGGTACCCTTCAGCTAAAATTTCTGAAGTAGTTTCTTTGTATATAAACATTATGCAACAAAAATAAGAAGTTAATACTTTCATTCCTCAATTACCTGATTAATGTAAATTCAAATGGGGCTTTTTCAGCACAAAATGCTGGTATTCTCAGCCAGTCCTGTGTTCTTTTCTCACTTTATATGTGCTCCCCAGCTTCCCTTCTAATTTATCTTTAGATTCAGGTATCATCTATATTCCAGTTGATGCCCAAATTTTCCTCTGGGCTGGCCAGATTCTGAGTTTCCAGATGTATATTTCTGCCTGTCTCTTACACCTCTGTGTAACAGAAACTTCCCTAACCCAGTTATTCTTAAAACTTAATACATTGTCTTAATTCTGTTTCTATAGCCTTTATCTTGATTAACAGTACATAACAGGCCGGCGCCGCGGCTCACTAAGCTAATCCTCTGCCTTGCGGCGCCAGCACACCGGGTTCTAGTCCCGGTTGGGGCGCCGGATTCTGTCCCGGTTGCCCCTCTTCCAGGCCAGCTCTCTGCTGTGGCCAGGGAGTGCAGTGGAGGATGGCCCGAGTACTTGGTCCCTGCACCCCATGGGAGACCAGGAGAAGTACCTGGCTCCTGCCATCAGATCAGCGTGGTGCACTGGCCGCGGCGGCCATTGGAGGGTGAACCAATGGCAAAGGAAGACCTTTCTGTCTCTCTCTCACTGTCCACCCTGCCTGTCAAAAACAAAAACAAAAAAACAAAACAAAAAAAAAAACAGTACATAACATCCACATCAGAAGTCTAGGAGTCATCCTTGCTTTCCTTTT